AGAAAGCATACCAGGGTCATGTTGGGGCATTTTTAGGGCATATTGAAGTGGTAGCCTAGAAATCCAAATTTGCAAAAGTTAGGCCACCATTTCAAAATGGCCTAGAAACTATACCAGGGTCATGTTGGGGCATTTTTAGGCGATTTTGAAAGGGTGGCCTAGGAACCAAATTTGCAAAAGTTAGGCCACCACTTCAAGATGACCTAGAAAACACACCAGGGTCATGTCAGGCCATTTTTAGAGCATTTTGAAGCGGTGGCCTAGAAAACCAAATTTGCAAAAGTTAGGCCACCACTTCAAGATGACCTAGAAAACACACCAGGGTCATGTCAGGCCATTTTTAGAGAATTTTGAAGCGGTGGCCTAGAAAACCAAATTTGCAAAAGTTAGGCCACCACTTCAAGATGACCTAGAAAACACACCAGGGTCATGTCAGGCCATTTTTAGAGCATTTTGAAGCGGTGGCCTAGAAAACCAAATTTGCAAAAGTTAGGCCACCACTTCAAGATGACCTAGAAAACACACCAGGGTCATGTTGAAACAGTTTTAGGCAACTTTGGAGTGACGGCCTAGGAAACCCTGCAAATTTGCAGTTAGGCCACCACTTCAAAATGACTCAGAAAACACACCAGGGTTAGACCAATTTTTTTCGAAAATACACACTGGTAAAAACTAACCTTCGTAAGCAGCATTGAGCTGAATTTCCATTTCAGCTTCTTCAGCCTTCCTTTTTTGGTTCTTCTTAGAGTTTCCTCTCTCCTCGGATGCTGTTTTTGGGACACCATTTGTCACGGCAATCTCCGCCAGATGTTCCGAAGACGACTTAATGACAGATGGATCTTGTGGGGACTGAATCTCCGAATCAACAATTGCTTCAAGCGCATCCATAGCTTCAGGAGCAGCATCAGCTTCAGAAGTACCAATTGCATCCGAAGAAACAATAGCTTGAGAAACAGCATTTGCTTCAGCATCATCAATAGGTCTAGAAGCAGCATCAGCTTCAGAATCATCAATTAATCCAGAAGCAGCAATTGCATTGGTACCTTCAAGAGGCGACAGCGAGGAGTTGCTGACTTCTGAGGCACTCATTGCTGGTGATTGCTCGGCTGAGGGAGCAGAGACCGGTAGAACCTGATTATTGACATTTCCATGAACTTGTTGGTTTTGAAGTTGTAGTTGAAGAAAAAATGGAATCAGACTCGGATCGTGTTGAAGAATTTGTTGAATCGGGTCGTATTGTAGAACAGCGGCTTGAGATGTGGCTACTGGTGCTCCTTGACCCAAAATAGCTGCCACGTTTGGAGCGGATGGAGCCATTAATATTCCTCTTCTGACAAGTTCGAGATTTTGCGGTTGCTGCGTTTGCTGTTGGAGCATTCGATGATGGAGTACTTGTTGTTGGTGCACTTGCTGTTGGAGCTGAGCATATTGGTGCATATGCCACGTGACAAGTTGATTTGCTTCGAACGTCGGAGCCAATTGAATGTTTGGATGCATGAATGGGTTCCCGTTGATCATGAATTGAGGGATAAGAGGAATTGGTCTGTGGACCACTTGATTCGGATTGTTGGCGACACTTGCTTGGACTGGCCAGTTTGGTAGATCTTGATCGGCCATCCTAGCTGGATGTCAAACGAGAGAATCGTCTGAAAATACATATTTGAATGAACTGCTGAATGAGCCAGGGATGTTTCTGACGGAACATTTTCGGAACAAAACTCCAATTGGACTCTGAGAAAAAATCGGTATGAAATCCCGTTCGGAATATTTTCAAAAGATATCTTCGCAATGAAATTCCGAGTGGAATAATTCCAAAACTTTTTTTTTGGAATTACAAGTTTTCGTACTACGGTATGTTTCCTGCCTGAGGTGAGGCGCACGCGTAAAATTTGCTTGTGAGTTTTGAACAGAACTACTTTTGATATTTTTTGCGCGGTCGAAATATTTCGGTCAATTTTCACTAGTTTTGAAAGTTTTTGTGATGAAAAAAAAAAGGAATTTCTACTTTGAAATTTGAGTTTTAAATAGTTCCGAAAATTCTGAGATTCTGTATTTTTCAAAATCGGAATATTCTGAGAACCCAAAATTCCTAATTTTACAAAATCGGAATCTTCCGAAATTCCGAGATTCCAAAATGTTCAATATTCCGAAAAGGCCAGTCCAATCATCAATGCTGCTGCTCAGTTTCTGCACTAAACAACTCTAACCAATGTTTTGTAGCTACTCACCTGATTTTCTTAGATTCCAGCCAGAGTCCTTGATCTTCCTGTAGAATCGATAGCTATGAGCTTCAACTAACTGTTGTTTTAGAATCTGAAACAATGATTATGTATAAACAGCAAGAAAGAGATAAAACGAATTACGGAGAGTTGAACGGAAAGAACGCAAAGTTTAGAATGTTCCGATTTGATTTTCATCTAATATTTTTTCTTCCCTGAAAAACGAATGGATTCTGTGTCTTAAGATTCCACTATTTCTATATTCTAGTAGTCAATGGGCTCAAAATTCTAAAATAGCCAAGAATCCAGAATAACGGAATTCCAGAAGTTCGGGATTCCAGAGTTCTTCATCAGAAAACAAAAAGCGAGGAAAAAAATGACTTTCGATTCACGAATTCAATCTTTTTAGACGCTTCCTAAAGACCCAAGCTCC